ACCCCCAGCGCGGTGGTCCGGTGCGGGTCACCCATTAGTCTTAGTCCCGAGCGGGGCTCAGACTGTCCAGTCCTCAAGACTCTAAGCCCCGTGCGGACAGTGGCCGTATGTTTGGTCATTGCTACTTTTTTGTGCTTGGCACTCTAGTAGGCGCTTTTTAAAATATCCTGTTAATGAACAAGTCTCCCCTTCATCAGAATTGCCCCAGTTTTGACTTCGAGGAGGTGACGCCGGTGTCCGGAAAATTGGTATATTTATTTGTTTTCGCGCCCCGAGGCACGCAGATTAAAGCCTACACACGTAGTAGAAGATGAAACACACGTCTTGGGGTTACTTTACCCTCTACCCTCTGATGCCGGCTCTGCCTTTAGACCTCTGGTGGTGAGCTTGGAAACTACGTAAATGTTTGTCTTGGAACCTGTCTCCCGCCCCCGCCTTGTAAAATAAGGTTATCTCTTAGGGTTATAACGTGAATATTTCAATAAGATAGCTAGGTAAAGGCATAGCATAGCGAAGGTGATGTATTATTTGGGGGTCATATAAGATGTTGTTCCACTTGCATGCTCCTTTTTTTGGTCTCTTTTATTCACACCCAACCTATATGTGAATGATGGACGTAAAACTGGTTTCTCCATTTTCAGGGGAGACCCACATCAGCCTTTATCTCTCGGATAACATAACTCCGTGTAATTCTTACTAAGCTTTCATGCCGCATTTCTTTCTCCTTCACAGTAGTCTCCACCTCCAATACATCTCCTTAATGGGACTTCCGATAAGACTTCTGGCTTTTTATGCACTAGCTGTTGCTTAGAAGAATTAACTTATCAGAGCCATTGCATCTCGTTTTTTATTTACCAAGTATCTGCCTGTTTTTCAAAAAAACAGAATTTTGTTCTTAACACCATATTTAGCCTATTTTCCCATCCTTCTTGATGTGTTACAGCTCATTAGTTTTATTTTTAAGTGGATTTGTGTACACAAACTATGTATGTAACATTATTGTCTTATATTTCTTTGCTTGGAAGCCAGTGTATTTTTTAAACAGGATGAAGACTGAGGACTCCCTTCTAGTCAATTTTCTTACGTTAGCTGTGCTTAGGTTCCTTAATTATATGGCCATAGGATCTCATTTGAATAGAATACTCACATTTTATCTGCGGTGGAACTGCGATGTAGAAATGAGAGCTGATAGTTTGTATTGGTTGCATCAAGATTTTTACTAGGAGAACTTTGTGTAAAATGAAGATTATAATGAGTATAAGAACATGAAAAAGTGAAGAAAGACCAGATTTAAAAAAAAAAATAGAGGAGAGAAGGTAAGTATTAGAGACACTGCTGTACACACAGTTTGTCCACAAACCTAAAGGTGAAAAGAAAGGCCACAGGTTGACAGTAAATGTGACAAGATATTGTCTTGTCCATTAGAACTCTAAACTTATATAAAATCCCTGTTATTGTGCCATAATTGGGTCCAAGACAAATCAGTCACATAAAACGCGAAGTCGAATTATTGCATAGTCAGCAAAAACACTGAAATATTTTCCATGCTGCCTGTAATGGTTGAGGCACAAAAGAAAACATAGTGACACTTGCATTGTAAATAATTGACCATACACCAAACTGAAAAAGTTCTAAATGCAGTTGTTTTATAATCCCACCTTCCTCCACCCACATTTCCAGAAGTAAAACTTTAGCTTGCCCCAGGCGCTGGGCTGACTTACTCAAACATCCTTGTTATTTGAAATTCTGGTAATTTGGGTTTCACTTTTATTTAAATCTGTCCGGGAGAGCCAACCCTAAGTATTCGAAATTTTTTGAGTCTTGCTACCCTCCTTCAGGATGTAGTATTTCTCCTCATCTTTTTACTGCCTCCCTTCCATCAGTATTAGTCACCTAGCAGTGATTTAATCTTTGAATAGATATTAGTGATTTGTATGGATTGTAGAACTCAGCTATATATTTGTAATTTTATTGTGAAACGAAAGGATCTTTATAACGACACTTCAGGTGAGAAGAAGCAGTGGACTTTGTTATTTATCTGCACAGGTCACTCTGAAGGGAACCTGATTGATCCTAGTTCTGATTTAGTATAAGGTCTATTGCATAAGATCATCTGCTTTCACTCTTAGATCATAAACACTCAGAAATGTCTTTCAACTACTTTCCTCCAGTGTACTCAGTTGCCTCTTTTGCTTTTCAGTATTTTGAAATTTTAGATACTTTATCAATAGCTTCATACTTTAATTATTTTCTTATATTCTGGAATTTGCCTTATGTTCTAATTTTTTTACTGCTAGTAGTTTCGCTTTTGACAACAAGAATAAAAATGTACCTTTTCTTACTAGAGGCTTCAGTATACTACTATGTTATTATCAGGTAGTTAGAAAAAGGAGTTCAGAGAGTCTTCAGTGTATAAGGCAATGTCATCAAAGCAAACGTATAGTCCATTCTACCATCAATCTAGTCGCTCTTATGAAAAAGAAACCTGGGAGGCACCACTCCTACCTCCTATTCTTCACTAAACCCTTTCAATTCTTCACTGATCTCTGTCAGATTTGACCACTTGTCTTAATCTCTCCTGTCCACATTTACACCAGTCTTTCACTGAAATTGCAGTAACTTAGGTAGACTTTTTCTGCACATGTATTCTATCCCTTTCCAAGGTCCACTCCCTGTTATGCAGCAAACATCTTTTAAAAATGAAAATCTGATCTTGTCACACTCCCATTTTATAGCTTCCAATCCTTTTCTTGTTTAGAAAAAAAATGTGTGGCTCGCTGCCAGCGATAATTTAACATAATGCCTAGGAATGCTACGTTTTCTAGGATTACACATTTTCAGCAATCAAGAATTACTATATTTTGTAAATGGAAATACCACTACTAAAAACAGAATGTTATAGCAACATAAGGCAGCCACATTATTCCCCAAAGTTTGGATCTTCTTGGGTTGGAAAAACTGGACTGTGGCAGATTTCCTAGTAATCACTGGCTCTTCTTTGCAAATTAGATGTAATATTGATAAATACTTTTCACATAACGAGTTTTGAATGTTCTGAGTAATTTTAGTCCAGATATTTGCAAATATAATTTCTACCTGTATGGAAAGATAGATTTCATATGGAGGAATAAAGGGGCTGGGCTGACTTACTCAAATATCATTGTTATTTGAAATTCTGGTAATGTGGGTTTCACTTTTATTTAAATCTATCTGTGAGAGCCAACCCAGAAGTATTCAAAACTTTTTGAGTCGGACCCTCCTTTAGGATGTAGTATTTCTCCTCATCTTCTTTCTTCCTCCCTTCTTTCAGTATTTATTTTTTTGTGTGTGGTTTGTGTCCTTAGATTTCAGAACTAAATATTAATGTTTATTTAACCAAAGCATACCAATATTCAGAATATGTGGCCTCTTAATGAAAGGGTACAAAGGCTGTCAGTTTTCAATAGTGCTCATAGCTGCCAACTGGATTTCACCTGGGCTAGCCTTTATATTTGATTTATTTTTAAAATCAGGAATCAAAATACTAAAAAAGAAAAGGAAGGAGAGGAAAGGGAGGCTCAGAGTGGCTCAGAGATCAGGAAACTGCTGAGGGCAATTGAGCTGTGCTGCCAAATGAGCCCAGAGGGCCATCTTTTGTCAATTCAAATTTAGCATCTTTTCATTGCTGAGATTGGGAAGGGGAGTGTTCCCTTTCTTGCTTGCACACACTCTGATTTTAAATCTCAGGTGATTTTTTCCCCCATGTTTATATAGCACTAACTTACCATGCATACTGAAACTTCAAGTTAGTCTTCCATGAGCCCAAAGCATACTCGTATATTCTTGCTCTGCATGCCAAGAATACAAAGCCCTGGCTGCTCTTTCCTCCTGTTGTTTCTCAGGGTTGTGTTTACAGTGAGTAGCCCAGGTAAAGAGCAGGACTGAAAAAGTAGGAATTTCTCAAGCTCAGTGTTATTCAGCTGTGAATATGGTCAATCAGTATATTACCTCACCAAGTCAAAAAGAAAAAAAAAAAAACTACCTGGTTGTTTGAGTGATTGATGAAAAAATATTATAATCAACATTTTTTTTTCTGTTTTAAAATCTTAGCAAAGAAAACTACATTTTTTTAACATGTTAAAAGATAATGATATAAAAACAACATTCTTAATGTTAAATACATTCTAAATAAAATGGGAAATACTTTCACTGCTTTTTACAAAAAACGTTGACATGAATGGTTTAGAAAATAGCTCAGGATAAGAACATAAAAAGGTCACAAAAACAGTTAGTTATTTGTATCCCACTAGAAAACACAAGAGTCAACTGAAAAACTGAGACGCTTCAGTAGAATTTGTTAGAGTGGCTGACTACAAAGTAAAAGTAATAATCTAGAATATTAGGACTAATCACTTAGAATATGTAAGAGTGAGGTAGAATCTGTTCATGAAAACAACCAAAACTAAAAGAAATTGACAGTCCACTATCAAAATTAATAATTGAGCACTGGCTGAAACTTTCTGCTTCAAGCATATAAAAATGACAAGAAATAATGTCAAAATATTAAAATATACAATTATGAGCATAACCATGTTTAAAAAACAGGAAGGGGAAGTCTCCATTGATTAGAGAGAGGAAGTTCCCCCAAAGAAAGGAGCAGATGGGAATCACAGCATGGGATTGGGAATGAAACCTGACAAAGCATGCTGCCCTGCCTCAGTGAAGCTGAGGGCTGGAAGTGTGCCACCTGTCATGGCTAGGGATTGAGCAACACCATCCATGTGTCTTGTGTGTCTGAAGCCAAGATGCCTCCACAAACCCTGATCATGAGGGTGGAGGCCAGTGTGATACTGCCTATCCAAGAATGCATTACCAATCCTGGACATGCAAGAAAAAAACTGGAATATGAGCTTTCAGTCAAAAATCACAAAGCACCTAACGTAGGTAAAAAGCAAATAAACAACTAACTTGAAAAAAGAAAAGAAAGTAAAAGTAATAGCCAAATCTATTATTGAGCACTACTATATGCCAAACACCATTCTAACTGTATGCTTTAATCCTCACAACAATCATATAAGTGCTACGATGATCCCCATTTTACAGAATGACGAAATAAAGGCACAGAGGTTACCTTGCCTACAAAGTAATAACTGAAGTGGAATTTCAACCCAGGTAGTCTGGCTGTGGAGAACACATTCTTAACAACTTTGTTTTTTGCTGTTTTCTTATACTTGAAGAAACAAATTTCAAAAATGGCTTAAAAGAATAAAGCCTCAAAAAGAGAAAAGCAGAAAGCCACAAAATAGAAGTGGTTATAAATAATCATTTAACTATGAAACAAGAACACGAGATTATGGTAGGAAATTAGAAATCTTAAATAGAGTTATTGAAATCAACTGAAGAGCAAAGTATTAGCATGTTGGGAGTATCATGCCCCAACTTACTGCCTTCATAGAGTTTCCAGACCAAAATGCAGTGGGGAGAGGGAAGGAATCCAGGGGAGGACCACCCAGTGGACATCCTGAATAAAGCAGATGGATCTTAGAGTCCAGGGAGACCACAGCAGGTGGAGCTTGTAGGACAGGGTACCTGAGAGGAAAGCTGCACCCAGAGAAAATTCTGGAGGTCTGCAGAAGGGTCCCCCTTAAGTATTCAGCAGAGCCTTGACTAGCATTTGTATGTCAGAGAAGTACTCAAAAAAGCTGGATCAAGAACCATCTTAAAAGTATTAGAGGGAACAGTACACCGCGTTCACACAGGATTGAGAATAGTGCCTGTATCTACTAGCCAGAATGTAAAACTTCATAATTCCCAAGACATTGGGTAGAATACTGAGGGTCATACCTCAGTGATGGGGAATAACCCTACACTTAAAATAGGGTTCTAGTAGTCCTGACTAGGAAATCTTAAGAGACCCCAAAGCATCAAACTGATTCCAGATAACCACTTAATTACAAAGCTCAAGAATATGTATAGAAATAGAAAAACATCCAGCACCAACAAGGTAAAATTCACAGTCTGGCATCCAATAAAAAATTATTAGGTAGCCAAAGCAGGAAATGATGACCCATCATGAGAAAAATTCAGTCAGTTGAAACAGACCCAAAATTGCCACAGGTGGTAGGATTAGCTGACAGAGACATTAGGACTGTATTCCATGTGTTCTAAAGTTAAGTAAAGGTATGGAAGACATATATATTTTAAAAGATATAAATTTCTAGAGATGAAAATTAATATCAGATATGAAAAATTGGGAAAGTCCCATCTCATGAACACCATGAATATTATAAAAGCTTTTGGGAGGATTTAGACTTAAATTAATAGATGACTTAACATTGTTAACTCGTCTGTCCATCCCAAAATAATGTGTAGTTTTCATGTAATTTAGATCAGAATCCAAATGGAATTTGTTTTTGGAATTGATCAATATTTTAAAGTTCACGGAGAGAATGAAAGGGCTTATGGTACTAAAAGATAAAGGCATCTTTAACCCACTACATGGAATATAAATTTAGTAATTAAAATTGTATCTCTGACACAAGATAGACATGCAACAAATTCATGGTCATATGGGAATCTACTATGTGAGAAAGGTGGCATCTGAATTGAGTGCCAAAGGATAGATCATTCAATAAATAGTAATGAACAACTATTTCCTTATTTCTGGAAGGAAAAGGTAGAGATTCTATTTTCTACCCAACTCCAGGGGGTTAAATGTTTATTTAAATATTTTTGGAGGGGAAAAAGTAAACTTTACAGTATTGGAAGAGAATACTGGTGAATAATTATATAATCTTTCTATCGGGAATAACTTTCTAAGCATAATGCCAAAGGAAAGTGATACAGGAAACAGGTAACATGTTGACCATGACTTAAAAAAATTCTAAACATACTCTGAGAAAAAGCCACCATACAACAAAGTTTAATGCAGCCAGTGTATTTATATCCTGTGATTCTATGCTAGTGCTGCTTATGTGAAATATACTTTTATAAACTGTAATAAAATGAAGTACTATGAAAATGAAGTTACAAAATAATAAGCTTTCATTTCAATTCTTAGATTCAACAAACAGGATTTCGCTATCAAATTGTAAAAGTTTCTAAATATTTTTAAAGCTGTAAACATGTATATTACTGACTGAACAGTTCTACTTCTAGAAATTCATCCTGATAAAATAAAAGTAAGTTAGTATGTACAGGTGCTTATCACAGTATTATTAATAGGGGAAACATAAGATCCACCTAACTCTTAAACCAGAGCGATTAATATATGATGTTTCCATAAAATGGGATGTTATATGACTGACTAAATTACATTGTAAAAGAATACTGAAAAGTGGGGAGATGTTGAGAATGATCCTGATTATGCTGCATAAATTATAGATAGATGTTAAATGAGTGAGAGAATAAAAACAGATGCAAAAAACAGTGATGCGGAGGGAGGGTGCAAGTTTATTTTGAAGTTTCTAGAGCTAAGTAAAGGCAAGACAAGACAGTATTACATGCCTGTTTCCAAAGATAAGGATGCTGTGCTAGTTCTTTGGTATTTGCACTATTATGTGAAGTAAAAACAAAAGTATTCTGTGCAGATTTTAAATGTAAGATTTTCTTTTTAAATTTTTCTCTTTTCTTCAGTTCTGCTCGAGATTTCAAGGATTTTGAATACTGGCTTAGATATGGAGACTCTGTCTATTTGTGTGCGGCTTTGTGAACAAGGAATTAACCCAGAAGCTTTATCGTCAGTTATTAAGGAACTTCGCAAGGCCACTGAAGCACTAAAGGTTAGTTCATTCTAAATAAAAATCTTTTTGTTTAACAAATGACTAATGGCAAGTTATGTTAAAGATTCTAAATGTGATTAAAGTAGCTTTTATCACCATCAGAAGACATTCTGAAGACCAGAAGCTTAGTAGCATGTTCAGATCACAAAAATTGCTACTATCATGGACCATGTTATTTTTACCCAGAAGTCTCCAACTTTGTTAGGATTTTCCTTGTGTTGTAGGTAAAATTGTGCCTGCCCCAAATAAGATATACTCAAGTCTGGTACCTGTGAATATCACTTTATTTGGAATAGTGTAGGTGTAATCTGTAGGTATAATCAAATTAAGATGAGATCATAATGGATTAATGACTGCTGTCCTTATAAGACAAGGGAAATTTAGACAGATACACAGTGTATCATGTGAAGATGGATACAGGTGAGAGTCCATGTGATGACAGTTGCAGAGACTGGAGTGATGGCAAAGAAGGCCAAGGATTGTTGGCAGCCACCAGAAGCTAGGAAGAAGCAAGGAAGGATCTTCTGCTAGAGCCTTCAGAGAATAGGTGGCCCTATTGACACCTTGATTTTGGACTTCTGCCCCCAGAACCATAAGAGAATAAACTTCTGTCATTTTAAGGTATTCCAGTTTGTTCTATTTTGTTATGGCAGCCTTAGAAATGAACAGATTTACTGCTGGGAAGTGGATTGTTGCTGTAAGAAATACCTACGAATATGGGCGTGGCTTTGGAATTAGGCAGTAATAGAGATTGGAAGGTTTTAATGCACTTGATAGGAAAAGCCTAGATTGTCTTGAAGAGATTATTGGTAGACGTTAAAGGAGATTCTGGTGAGGACTCAGAAAGGGAGAGGAGAGCTGTAGAGAAGGCTTCAGTCTTCTTGGAGGATACATGTATTAGGAACAGGATCTTGCTAGAAATATGAATGTTAAAGGTCCTTCTGGTGAAGTCTCAGGCAGAAATGAGGAACGTGTTATTGGACACTGGAGGAAAAGCTATGCTTGCTATAACGTGACGGAACACTTGGCTAAATTATGTTACACTGTTTGAAAGAAAAATAAAACTTGTAAGCACTAAACTTGGATATTTAGCTGAAGAAATTTCCGAAGTGTGGAAAGTGCAGCCTGATTTCTCCTTGCCACTTATAGTAAAATGTAAGAATGAGAAATTGAGGAAGAAACTGGTAAGCAAAAAGGAACGAGCACTTGCTTTGGAAAATTCGCAGTCTTTCCAGATAGCACACTCTGGAGAGAAGACCAAGAGTGGTTGCAGAGCCTTTTGGTGAGATCAGGTGTGTAACTCATAGATACAGTCAACCGTCTCAGCACAAAACACTGCCAGCTTGGGCTGAAAGGGACCTGTATGGTACAGAATGAAGGGAGTCATGTCAGACTTCTGGGATTCCAGGAAAGTAAGAACTACCTGGCTGTGAACATGAATTTAATCCTTCAAGAAAAGGGAAGAATTGGAAACATTTAATGTCTTGCTCACTAGCATATGTCTTTAGTTTGGCACAAACTTATAAAAATAATAGTAAAAATAAATAAGTAAATAGAAGGGAAGGGAGACTCAGTGGCTCAGATACCAGGAAACTGCTGAGGGCAATTGAGCTGTGCTGCCAAATGAGCCCAGAGAACCATCTTTTGTCAGATTCAAATTTAGCATCTTTTAATTGCCAAGATTGGAAAGGGAAAGTTCCCTTTCTTGCTTGCACACGAACTCACCATGAATACTGAAACTAAGTTAGTCCCGCTTAAGGACAGAGTGGCTTCTCTCTATCCTGTTTTCTTTGTGGAAATAGAACTATATAAAAGATTTAGCTTACCCATCTCTAGTAAATTCCAGTAATTTGGATTGTTGGTTTTGTGCTTTTTAAAACTTTTTGATTATTAAATATAACACAAAAATGTGAACAGAACATTTACAGAGCAAAATTTAGCATAAAGAGAATATCCATACATCTCTCCTTGCCAGCACCCGAGAGAGAAGTCCCCATCATTGACTTCTCTTTTCTGCTTTCCCCACCAGTAACTACTGTCCTGATTTTTATGGTAGACACTTTCTTACCTTTTAACAGTTTTACTAAGCGTGGACCTATAACACTGCAGTTTAATTGTAAAATTTTCAAACTTGATATAAGTGGAATCTTATAATACAATTTTTTTTACTGGGTTGTTTCATTTAACATGTTTGTGAGGTTCATTTATATTGTGTGAGACTGTGTAACACATTCCTTTTCACAGCAATAATTATGTTTCATTATACAAATTATGCTATAACTTATTTATCCTTTCTACTGTGAATGGATATGCACAGATTACTTCCAGGTAGAGATTTTTGTATTGTAATGCAGTTTGAGTGCTATAAAGAAACCAGAGGCATATAACCTATCTGAAAAGAATGTACAAGAGAGACTGACAGAAGTATTTTGGCATAGCCTTTCTGTAGACAAAATAAATCCCAAGGTATTAGGGTAGGAGAGTCAGAACTACCTAAATAACATATCTTTCTCAGTTTTTGGCATACTGGTTATCTCACATCCAGTGGACTGTAGTCTCATATGAAGGCAAAATCAATAAAGTTGAATGAAAATGAGAAAGTGTTGCCCATTCGAATGGAAGGTAAGTCACACACAAAGCCTCTTAAAACATATTTCTACCATAGTCTAAAACCAGTATACCAATATCTCATTAAAACTAGGTGGGGAGGAGGGCCTGAAAATTTTCCAACAAAGAAGAAATGTTAATTAAAGTATAATGGTGGTATAGGTGGAGCAGGATTAGCCATGTGCTCATTATTCTTCTCTTGCCCTTTTTTCTCCAGCTTATACATAACAGGAAAGTCTTTCCATCTTAATCTCCTTATCACACTATAATGAAACTTGCAGAAACAGACTAGTAAAGACTATGTGGATAAGATCTGTTATAGGTTAAATTTTCAAGTAGCAGTATATTTTTACATTAACTAAGATTAAATAGCGGTTTTCTACTGTTAGACTAGCAATCAGTTCAAAAGGTGGTTCTAATGCACTACAAAAGTGAAAACCATTGCATTATCTTGATAAAAGTGATTTGGTACATGTTTAAGACAGGTTGTTTGTTAATGACAGTGCAGTATTGACATTTATTTACATGGTACCTCGTTTTCTATGGTTTTGTTATAATGAATCTTACCTTCTTGTTCAAGGCTGCTGAAAATATGACAAGCTGACTTTCTGGAAAATCCTGATGAGACGTCAAGCTCTGCAAGAAGTTTTGAAAATCACATTGTAGTCAAGAATGTACAAAGAAATTACTGCATGCAGCAGTGTAAAAACATTGTCCTTTTTAAAAGAATTATAAAACCATAGCTTTATGAATCAATGAAAAGTTGCTTACAGAAAGCACCATCCAGATGTGTTTACGTCACATCTTTTTTAAACAGCTCTAATACTTTGGCATTGCAGTGTTCATATTTATGTATTCCTTATTTATAGCTGTGATAGCTTTAATGTCGTAGGCAGTCTGTCAGATGTGCACATCTGCTGTACCTGGTTAAAGTATAAAGGAACCCATCAGTGGTAATGTAGTAGTTATGACTTGTTTACATTTCCATTATAAACTTTAATTTTGAATTATTTATGCAGAATAACTGGATTTATTTTGTATTGGGCTAAAAGTTGACAGAATTTTAGCCACCATTTGTGAATTTTGATTTAGGTTCATTATGTATATTAGAATCTTGTTTTTTATGAGCACAAAAAACATTTGTAATTTGCTCTTTAAGAAAGAATATTTAGTTTTTTAAACATAAAATTTGTCTGGCAGTTAAGAGTGTGAACCAGATCAGTTTTGTATTGTTAGAAAAATAAAACTTTTAAGTACTTAGATTTTAAAAGGAATAACAGTACTTAGCTTAATATTATTTATCATTTGAATCATTTAAATTTAATGAGAATATTAATTGAGAATGTTTTTCTAGGTCTTATACTCAGAAAATGACAGCATAAAAAATAATATGAAACATTTCAAAATGCAAAATTGTTTTTTTATTACATAAAAATAATTTGAGTGCTTACCTAATATATCCTGAGGGGTTATCTAATAGCTAAATAGATAACTAATGGTTATCTAATTATTAAACAGGAGATGTCGTTCAACAAATGCTACTATTTTCTGAAGGAATAAAGATTTCCAGTTATTAAACAAAAACTAAATAATCTTATATTCTGTAATGTCTTTCCAAGATCATTTTTATGTGCCATTACTTTTACCCTGAAAGTTTTAAGCACTCAAAGTTTGATTCAAAGTAAATTTTAGAAATTTAGGATGATATTAATTTGTTTCTGTAACAGAATCTCAATGGAATATTTTTTCCAAGACTAATACAAATTTAATCTGGTTTTATTTTTGTTTTAAACTTTGTTAGCTTCCATTTACTCTTCAGTGGCATTTTTTTGTTCTTCAGACAAAGTCAGATGATTTTAATGAGGCTAGTAATACTTAAATGGCAACCTTCTGTACTGTTTAAAACATCTAGTCTTTTGACCATTTTGACTTTTCAGATGCATTCATCTTTACCAAGTGCACCGGAAATTGTATTATTGGGAGAACTATTTGGAGACAGTAAGAACTTATAAAGATAAGTCATTTGATAACACATACTACAAATACTGCATGTTACATATAAAATCATAAAGAGAACACGTTTGTTAAGCTCCAAAATTTATATATACTTTTAAGCTATAAGAGGTAATAGTTTTATTTATGACTTTGTAGATTAAGTTATTTACGTATGAAACAAAGCAGGAAAATATATTTAGAAGGAAGTATGTTTACACAGGACTTCTTTCATATGTTACGTTTCTTAAATGTAAACATATATTTTTAATGCATACTTAAGTAATATTTAAGGAAACCAAACAAAGTAATGATACAATCTCAGTGTAATGCATGTCGTCATTGACAAAAATAAAATCATTTTGGTGATTATTGGTATACTTTTGATTTAATAAATATTTCTGTGACTTCAACTTGTGTTTCTGTAGGTGTTCTATAAATATTTAGATGCTTATTAGTTATGTGTGATTGAAGACTATTTAAAGGTAGAATGTATAATTAGACTTGAGATGTAAAGGGATGGCTTTTCCCCTGGTAGTGAAAGGAGGTAGCTACATTACCATTGCCCCAGGCTTGAAAACAAAGTTGACATATCAAAGATGTGTGAGGTTATGTTTTTTATACTTCAAAAAAGAGCTTCTTTACATAGATATGAAATTTACTTACATATTTCAGACATGTTTAAAATTTTCTAATACCTGAATCAAGCAATAGAGTGTTAGAAGCAAATGCATTGTACAGGTACAGAGAGGGAATATGCAAAAGAATATTCTGGCTGAAATAGGAAGTTATATTTAAGGGAGAGTAGAAGAGGGCTGGAAAGACAGGTTGAAGTCAGATTATGAACATCCCCGAACAAGTTTGACCTTTATTCCATGGGCATCGGAGAAAGGAAGAGATGTGATCAAGCTCTGTTATGGGAATTGCTTTACAAGTGAAGTTAAGTGCAGGGTGGGTTGGAGCAGGGAGAGACTAGTTAAGCTGTGACAGTAATCCGGGTCTGAATCTTCAAATCAGAGTAGATTCAAGAGACATTACAAAAGAAAAACATGGGATTTAATGGCAGGTTATGGGGAAAATAGAGGAAACTTAAGGTAGCTGAGGTTTTTTGTTTGTTTGTTTTTAAACATAAGTTATTTCTAGAATTTTCCATTTATTATGTTTGGATTATGGTTGGCCATGGGTAACTGAAACCACAGAAAATGAAACTGCCACAGTCAACCAGCTGAAAATGATAAGGTGGCTGAATTTTTAAACTGGGTAACAAAGAATGATTATTAGTAAATGGAAATTAATCTAGAAGGGAATCTAATTTTCCTGGAGACATGAGTTTTATTTTAGGAATAATGTATTGAACATATATATTAAACATCACCCTTGCCGACCCTCCTAATTCCATTACTCAACTTCTATTTTTTTCCTATAGCATTTATCATTCTCTAATATAATTTACTTATTTATTATGTTTATTGACTATTATCTATCTCCATCTACATGAAAAGGCTCCACAGGGGCAAGGTTTTTTCTGGTTCATTGATGTGTCTTAATAAGCATCTTAAACAGTGCCTGGCACATAATAAGTGTTCAGTCAATACATGTTAGTTGATTGCATGGGTAGACCTAGTATTCAAAAGACAATATCCACTGCCATGCAATTGAAAAATAATAACTAACATATTGAGAACTTACTAAATGCAAGACACTTTTCGGTGCTTTATATTGCTTACAGATATAGGAGGATAGATAGCATCATCCCATTGCAGATAAACAGGCACAGAGTGGTAAAGAAGTAGCTTAATCAGAAAAGTGGTACAGCCAGGATTTGAACCCAGGTAAACTGACAGTCCACGCATCATAGTACTTCTCACCTATATACGTTACCATCTCGTGGAGGGAAGAAGCAAAATGGGAAAGAGAACTGAAAAATTGGGAATCATGCCCAAAGATAGTAGTTGAAACTCGAGTAGATTCTGAGAATATAACAAAAGACTTAATGATAGATGCTTTTCTTTCCCAGGGTTGCCCATTCTTTTCCTAACCAGCATGCTATTGGCTGATGTTGATGGACTGGTAAATTTTTGTGGGATCTCTGCAGATCTATGTTATTGTTTGTTTTATATTGGGCTCATATATACAAGGTTGAAGTATTTAAAGTGTTATAAAAAAGATACTACATATGACAGCCCTAAATTGCAGCCTCAGGAAGTTTATTTGTTAACAAATGACACTTTTTAATGGAATTTCTAGTTTCCTTAGTTCTAATCTTTGTTTGTCAGTCAAAAGATGTCTGATGCGCCCCTAGGAAGAATAAGAACAAGAGTGGAAATGGACCAGCTTGTGGGGAGGTCATTGGATGTTCTAAAAGTAAATAATCGTGTGTCAGCAATTTGGAAAACTTGTATGTCAAGGATACTTCACGTCTCTCTAGGCCTCTGTTCCTTCAATGCGTCAGTTTCTTCAATTGTATTGTGAGGTTTAGCCTAGCCTCTGATTTATGCCCCCAAAGCCAAGATTGCCTATGGCATCTTCATGATCTTTACCACATGTATATGATACTAAACTATTATTTATAGACCTTTTTTCTTTAAATAGGCTCACTTTTTAAAAATCCAAATAAATTTATTTTCGAAATAAAAATTTACATGCTACAAAAGTGGCACTACTAAAATGGAAACCCAGCATCATTTGCCATAAAAATAATTACTAAACAGACTTTTTATCTTATTTAGGTGTCGTCTTTGAAATCTGTGATTTTAAGACCTGCTCTTTGATGGAAAAGAAGATGAGCAAGTGTTAGAGACATAACAGAATCGAATTATCGAAAAGGATTGAAAGAGCATTGAAAAGAAATGAACTTTATGCCATTTATTGCCTTTTAAATGAAATGTCCTGGGGACCATCCCCTTTGGCACCCATCTTACATTTTGGAAAACCACTATCCTAGATAATCTTCAAGATTCCTTTTGGCTCTAATATTCTTATGGCTTAGTGGAAAGCTCAGGCTTTGGGATCAGGCTTGATTTGTGTGTCCTCCAAATCTGTTATCTGTAGGATGAGGATGATATATATAGCTACAATGTTATGAAAATTAAATGGACATATGTAAAATCTATACAATACCACCTGGCACATAGTAGGAGCTTCATAAATGTTAATCTTCACTTTACTTTTCATTCATTGGACTTACCTAACAACTTCAGGAGCGACCCAAGGATTCTGAATAGACAGATTTGAAATGCACTTTTTTCTCACCAATGGAATCAGACTTCATGTTTTCATAAATTCTTATATTCTCTTTTGGAAACAGGCAAAATGTATTTAAATATAAGCACATACTATCTTTGTATAGGGAGAAAGATCGAGACATCCAATAGAACCAAAAGATTAATATGTAACTAAATTTTAGTATGAAGACTTGCATAACTAATTAGTGAAAGGAGCCCATGAGGATGAGAATGTGTTGGGAGAAGTAAGGATGATGAATAATTTTTAAATCTTTCTTTTCAACATAAAAAGAGCTCATTGTTCTTAGTTCCTTTGATAAACTCAGTGGGAATATGAGTGATCTTTGTTCCGCCGAACACTGAGAGCCGTCATGTAGAATAGGAGCAACCAGCGGGCTAAGGGAAAGCTGCTTTGGAAGTCTGCGGACAGAAAATCGTGGGGGTGGAGGGGCAGCCGAGGGCGGGGAGCTTGGCAAGGTTTAATTTTGGCCCTAGATAAACATACCTGCTTCCACTTGTCTACCTAATAGAAATGGGAGGACTTGATCAATCAGGGCCAAGTTCAGAAAGAAAGACAAAAGCATTTTGTGTGGGACAAAGACAAAGTGCTTAGATTTCACAAAAACGGCACTATATACTGAGCTGTCTTTACGTTGAAATGCTACTGCACAAGGAATTGGGGGGCCCGGCAGTCTCAGGAAAAACTGGTGTCGTTGGTCTGACCTTTCAAGGCAGCAGCCATAAGCATGACTTCGATAGGAAGAGAGTTGTCGTGATGGATTGTTATGACTCCCGCACTGTCACTTTCATCAGTTCGGAAAGGTTTTAGACTCTATGTGGGATTTAGCAGTAAATCTGGTTAACAAGGGAGCCCTTAGGGAAAACAACATGTGGAAAAGAGAGGATGCTTTTTCACCTGGGATTTCTCCAGTCTTGTCTTCTCTCACTTTCAACATTTTGTGTGGAACTTTCTTGTTTCTCTCACAAGCTCAGGTCAGAACAAAGGAATTTATACTAAGATTTCACTAATAATGCATCTCTCCTCCCTGGGGGAAAGCCAAGTCCTAGAAGTACGACTTGACTTAAGGGATGCAGCGGGCTAGGCAGCACAGGGCGGGGGTGGGGTGGGGTGGGGAGCGGGACGAGATTGAGATTGGCTGCTGGAGAGTTTTTAAGGTCTTTCCAATGGTTTGACTGCTGCGCCCAACATTTTCCTAAGCTATCCAATATAACACCAACTCTTAGCATTGGCTAAAGCCCATCTCACAATCCATGAGTAATAAAAACTAAAGATGGAGCACTGCTCCCGTTGGCTCAGCTTGTGTACCCATGTCCTCAGCTTCTCGTTTCAAATATAATTCACTTCTCCTGGTTAGCCCCCATCACTCAGTTGTCAAACAGCATGTGCCATTTTTCACAATCTAACCCAGCAGGTAGAGTCTAGACAAATAAGTGGAATCCAATCTGCGCTGCACTGGGGGGAAGTGGGAACAAAGTACTATTACTATAGTACTTCCAGGAAAACCAAGAAGGAGATGCCTTTTCATACACTATTCTAATGCATCAAAAAGGCTTAATATAGTAGTTAAATTATCAAGCATCCCCTCCCTCAAAATAAAGATGCTCCTTATACCTCTTTTCTCCCTCAAAAAAATATTTTATTACTATTTAATAGTATTTGAGGTCTAGATAAGGTCTATAATATTACAAATAATTGTGTACTGTCTCCACAGATAGACATTTTAACAACTTCCTTCTATTTAAGGTCTAATTTAGGATTGTTCAATGAATCAATAATCATCTTAAAAGTGAATACCTTATTCACAGTAGTTCCCAGATTCTCACACTTATCTCCATCCATATAGTTTAATGTTGACAGCGACTTGTGAAAAATCACTCCCTGTCTCTGGAGCAGGGGGCATCTCACCCGTAAGGAAATACCTGCTCTTGATCCTCAAATTCCAGCGCCTATCACTGCACATAACATGTAGTGAATGTTCAATAAATACATAGCAAATGAATGATTTAACAATCATACATAGGTGGCAATACTGTTCACATGAAATCCTCCTTCAATTATTAGTATTTCTTTTTTAAACATGATCCTGAAAAAAGCCTCTTGTTGACTAGCGTATGACTTCACTGAACTTTGATATTTCTCTGCTTTTATTTTAGGTTTATGTTCATCC